TAACTGAACCAGTTACGTTATATCTTCTAACAATATTTCTCACACTGTACCGCGATAAGTTTAACAAAGTTGCAATTTCTGAGTTTGATTTCCCAGAATTAAAAAATTTAATTATCAATAACCGAGTTTTCTGACTAATAACCTTTCCTCTACCCATTTTGAAAACCTTAACTACCCAAAACTATTTTAAACGTATTCTGACAGCTGTGATTAATAAAAACAATTGTCATGGCTTTTATTTTTCACAGCCACCTATGCGTTATAGACTTATTTTGCATTGAAATGAAATTAGGTTGATATATGCTGTAATTGCAACATGTGTTATTTTTATGCTGCAAATTTGATTAGGAGTGATAAAGTTGGTGTTTTCTACTACATATTATCAAAATATTCGTTGTTAATATTTTAAGCCTATAACACCCTGCTACATTTTTATTATTTGTGTTTGATAAGAAAAAAACTAAGATTTCAATAGTTGGGCCAACTGAAGTGCGAAGGGGCTCGTAGTCCCTATCTAAGTCCTAACGACTTCTTTACTTTCCCGAATATTAAAAACTGACTGCGTGGTCAAAGGTTCCAGTCACCCGAAGAAGCAGTTGACGCATTAAAAAATGCCGTTTTGGATCTGCCAGCAAACGAGTGGAATAAGTGCTTCGAAAATTGGTTCGAGCACATGCAGATGTGTATTAATCTTCGTGGAGAATAAAACAATAAAGTCATATAAAACTACCTACCGTGTTGTTTTATTTCCATATGCAAAACTTAACTCGTATCAACGACATCTGTGGATTCATCCAGCTGCAGTGAAAAATAAGCACATATATCGAAGTATTTTCTCAACTGTAAAACTAGGTATATCATTGCTCATTACTTCTACTCTTCTCATCACTGTATTAGCAGAAAATTGAATACACTTTATGGCAGACACTATCTCATCTTTATTTCTAAAGTTGGCAAATAATGAATCTACAGCTTCTAAAAACGCCTGTTTTATCATTTCCCCGTCTCCATAAAGTTTATTCTTTTGTATAATTATCTGCCACACTCGGTATGATGCTTCACTTGCAGCCTCACTTTTGTCGATTGTGTTTAACAACATTGTCTGTTGTCCAATTAACTGATTTTTTATTGTTTCAGTTTTTCGGTTCTGGTTGCGGTATGTAATGGGAATAATTTTTCAAAATTCGAATGTTATCGTGTCTCTCGATATTCCCTTTTTTAACCACGGAAGCAGATATATTATATAACCTTTATCTTCTGTAAAGAAATATTGTTCTCCCCATTCCGAAAGGAAATCGTATGTCTTCATCTTCTTACTACTGCTCATAATATTTTTAATTGCAGGCCAACTCTAACTTTGTGCCGTTCAGTTTTAAACTGAGCGCACTGTCGCCACGCCTTGCGTATTTGTTCCGTTCAAAGTCATCGAGATCGTTCTCGAACAGATCGCTCTCCGCAGTGTTGCCGGTGCTTGTGTTTATCATGAGAATTTACAAAATTTACGGAAGCTTGTATGATTTTTACACCTTTTTAAAATATGTTGTGGGCCACCAGAATTGCCTTTGCAAGCTACTGATAGCTCGCGATCGACAGGTTGGCGACTACTGAAGTAAACGAATCTGGACTGGTTGATGTTAAAATGTATTAAAACCAGTTATGGTTCAAAATGTTTGATTTTTAATAACTTTGGCGCTTAGACCCTGCTGAACTTGAGCCATGGCCTAGTTTATGTTGACTTTGATAGCACTGGTGGGATGTCCATTGGTAAACACCTACGTCTACACAAAACTTCACAAAAAATTCTAATAGAGTTCAATTATACTACGAATTCACGACACCCCTATGAGAAGAAATAACCTTATTATCAATTGGTTAATGCAGAGTGTTCCTTATCGCGTACATGGGCGCCCGCAGTAATTATTTTCAAGGGTGTCAGTCATTCCACCCTGAAACTAGATGATGAAAATGGAATAATACAACAGGTGAATTTATACATTTTATCTACAATAACATTTCACAATAAACGAGTTTCACCGGGCAGATGATCCTATTCAATCTTAGTGAGAAGGTATTGCACTTCTTTTCTGCGGCCGTGATACATCGTACAACCAGGTTTGTATCGCTTGGTGGTCATTTTGCACCCTGTATAAATACATGGTGATCTACATAAAAAAAAACACACCCAACTTGGACAACTCGCATCTCCTCAACTATTTTAGTGAGGCTACTTAGATTTTTTATCAAAAAATTTGATGAACTGATGTTCTCCCTCTATCTACTGACTTGTACATTTTTCTGAATTCTTTTCACAGGGTGGTCAACAACTCAAAATGAATTATTTCTAGAAATTTTCAAACGGAACAACCTGTACTTATATATTCTTGAAGTTTTCTCTTGATATAGGTCTACGAGAGTTTGTAAGCTTTTTGGGTTGCAGCTAATGTTTTTGTAAGTCCATCAGGATAAATGGAATATATAAAAAATTTGCAATATAATGTACTGTATAATGTTTATACCCCTTCTCATGATTTCTTCTCTCAACAATTTTATCTTCAGTAACGGCTATTAATACCTTGTGCTCTTTAGTAAAGAGAGTGTTAGTTCTCCATGTTTCTCGTATTTAACTAAGTCAGTACAAGTAAAGCGATCTATTACTTTCTCAACATTTCATTTTAGGTGCATGAGTTCAGGAAATCGCTGCTGACATTTCCAGAATGCAAGAAGATTTTTTAAGTTTTCCTTTAGACTCTAAATCATGCTTGGTGTTACTATGATGAATTGCCTGTTTTTTACCTCGAAATGAAATTTGCAGAAGTATCAGTCACCCTGAAGTCAGAAGCATATTGTCATCTAATTTAAACTATCCTTAATTTTGTACTAAATTTAGCACAAAATTTCGTATCGTGACAGACGGCCTTAAGGGAGGGTAAAAAAATATTATTTATGGAAAATGTGTAAACAAAACGTTGAAAATCATGAGGGTAGCGCCATTGCAATGCTTTATTTTTACTGACAATGGTGTTAATTAATAAAAAGGATTAAAGTTTCTGGAAGCAAAATGTGCTTTTGTCCACAAATCAGCATCTTTGCTGTTACTTCTGTTTATGATAATATATCTTTCGATACGATGGACTCTGTGATAGACATTCTGCAATCAGTTTATTGCTTAGTCTAATGGGTTCTTTAAAGTCTGAATTCAAATTTTCCACTAATTATTTATTTCAAAATTATCGTTTTTAGCTAACTTTGGACAACATTCTAATAGAAACAAACGGGCACTCTCTCTTTTCACTTTTCAATGTCATGTCAGGCATTTATCGCCCGCGCTTGTGTTTGTTTTGATGGGGAGTAATTGGGATTTTAAGGAACCTGTTTGATGTCAGAGGTGACTTTGGCGATGAAAAATAGCCTAGAACATGTTTTCCCTGGATCGCTTAAAACTTAAAACAGCATTTCCTTAAGATAAATTGTTTTCTTTCTGAATTTTTCTATCCAGTGGTTCCTTCCAATCTCCTCCATGCTGTGCCGCTGTCCAATTGCGCCGAGCGAAGCCCAATTTACAATTTAAATGGATTTCTGAGGGTCTTATTGATTTTTCTTTCTTCACGGATTCGTTTCAAGTCAGCGGCAAGTCTTTCTTTGCGGTTGGCCTGGCGCAGCAGCTATGTTGAGGCGACCGACGACGCTCTAGTTGTGGTCCTGGGATCTGAAAATTAGAACACAGTGGTTAGTACAAATTTTGTTCCAGCCTTTTGTATTACCGTCAACTATCTTATACTGCCACTGATGGATCAATGGAGGTCATTAATAGAAGTTTTTGTATACAGGATCGGCAGAGAATCAGACGGAGAAAGTAAGATGTATGTACATACATAAGCGCGATGCGTGATAAAAGGATATGCCCTCGCCACAGACTTGTTCTAGTCTGTTTCGAGCGCGGTTGCTCTAACATACGTGCTGGATATCATTAATTGTGCGACAATCCTGTATGTGGAGATACGTTAAGAATCTTGTTTAATTGTTTGCTAGTTCAGAATGCGAGAAGAGCCCAAATAACTTATTGAAGAATTTGCCTACCAGGCATTCCTGAAGCATTCAGTTTGACAGTATTTGCCGGGACCGAAGTGACTAGTTCGGGTAATATAGACATAGTGGGAGGATATAAGCGTGGTTTCTGTGATGAAATCTGTGTCGTGTGGGGTCAACTGGCGCTTGTCAAAGCCGCAAATACTACAACTCATTTGTAATCTCCTAAATGCTTGTCACAAATAAAAATCGTCACTATATGCATCTAGCTGGCGGAATTTTGAGTTACATATTGCATTCTTCCGAAATTCTGTTGGGCTGCTCCTATGAAATGATTAGTCATTGAACAAAGGTTTATAGTTAAAGATATCCGTATTGGGTAACCTACTTCTCATATCCAACGAACATTGTAACTCTAACCATTCCCAAGATCATCTATCACATCTTTGTCCTGTAAAATTATATTTTTGCTGTTCCATTTTTGTGCTACAGTCTCTTATATTTTTTGTTCGCAATGACCTGTTTATTCACATATATGCGTTAGTTTCCACAAACAAAAAAGGAAACCACTTGATCAAAGAGATATACCTCTTACAATTAAGAAAAAGGGATCTCAGTTCAAATGTAAATATTTCTTAGAAACACATCAAAGTAACAATTCTGAATTCAAGATAGTTGCTCTTGAATCAAAAGCACGCTTCTTTGCATGCAGAGAATAGCAAGGTTGACAAACTCAACTCCCGATTTGAATCGCCCTTTTGTAGCTTTTCTACCCATTCAATAACATATCTTAAAATTAAAAAAGAAAAGGGAGGAGTTTATCCAGCGGTAATAACATTATTATTGGTTACTGAGAACAAAACCATGTTTAAAAGAATTGCAATGTCGAGATTATCTTATCTACCCAAACGTTCTGAGGAACACAGAATCAATGCCCATACTAAGGTAGTATCTCCCTTCACCACGATTCAACCATGCCTCTGGTTAACGAGGAAATTATGAAATTGGCAATCAGGAATAAAGAAAGGCTTGATCAACATTCAAATGCTGGAGCTCAGCCAACCACAACATTGTCTGACGATTGGAAACGATCAAACCATGTGAACCTATGTCGTGTGTTGTGTAGAGTAGATAATGTTCTCGTAGTTTACGCGGTAACGTTACCTATACCTCGAATTTATAAGAGTGTCCTGAGTTATCAGTATTCCGAAGCTATGTCTCCGGGATCCAGTTGAAAGCATGCAAACCCCAGAAGTCAGTGTTGGAGTATTAGTATTGTGCAGTCCAAGTCCATTAAAGTATTCGATTCCCCTGGATTCTGTACATTGTCGGACCTGTTCCAATAGATCCATTCGTTTTGTTCCATGCCACTCGGCGACTCGACTGTGACTGGTTCTGATCTGATTCAAATCGATACAGTTTGTTGCTAGGTGTATGGTAGATTGGTGATTTCATCACCACCATTTTACCAAAGACACTCAGATGATCAAATTTATTGAAATATTGAAAACTGAAAGCAGGTTGTTGTTGGCACCCCACCTCTTATGTAGAACCTTGATACTGACCGTAAAAATGTCTCCAATATCAACTTCAAGCTTCATATTATCGATTATTGATAAATAGTTAAACAAATAGTATGACAGTTACTGTCTTATAAATGAAAAAATATCCTGTATTGTGTGTACAGTATAAACTAAATGATTATGACTTTATTGTTCATATAAATCGTGTGATAGCTGCAAGTTTATTTTGTTCAATTGCGTCTATTTTTTCTATCAATTGAAAATTAAACCATTAGTTTGAGCGATTGACACATGGAGCTTCGGTCCATAGATGCTCTTGCATCGTCAGTCCGCGGAATAAATACGATGCGGTGGAATGGGTTTGTATTTTTCTACCATCGGATCCGATTGGACTGAAAACAACACAACTCTTCCGAGTTGAAATATTATTGTTATTTATATATTTTATGTACAAATCAAAATGACAGCGTTCCTTAATAAGATAGGTATATCAAATAACGATCTCACGCCGTACAGTGGTGCTATTTATTCGAAAACCTGGCAAAAATTGAAAAAACAAAGTATCGGGAATGAATGGACATTATTTTCTATTTTAAGGTTAATATCTAGCAATAAGAACTTTGTAAATATAAGCCCCTTCCCACTTCAGTTGGCCCAACTATTGAAATCTTAGTTTTTTTCTTATCAAACACAAATAATAAAAATGTAGCAGGGTGTTGTAGTTTTAAAATATTAACAATGATTATTTTGATAATATATAGTAGAAAACACAAGCTTTATCACTCCCTAATCAAATTTGCAGCATAAAAATGACTCATGTTGCAATTACAGCATATCAACCTATTTTCATTTTAATGCAAAATAAGTCTATAACGCATAGGTGGCTATGAAAAATAAAAGCCATTGCAATTGTTTGTATTAATGACAGCTGTCAGAATACGTTTAAAATAGTTTTGGGTAGTTAAGGTTTTTAAAATGGGTAGAGGAAAGGTTATTAGTGAGAAAATTCGGTTACTGATAATTAAATTTTTTAATTCTGGGAAATCAAACTCAGAAATTGCAACTTTGTTAGACTTATCGCGGTACAGTGTGAGAAATATTGTTAGAAGATATAACGCAACTGGTTCAGTTAATATTAAGCCACGATATGTGAAAACAAGTAATATCACAAATGCCGACCGAAGAGCATTAAGAAGAATAATCGTGAAAAACAGGAGTGCCAATTATTTACAATTAAGTTTTCTTATAAAAAAAGTGAAGTAAAAACCCTAAAGTTGCACAACTTGTTTATATGCCAAAGAAAAGCCACTATTAACTCCACTGCTAATGAAAAATCGGCTTAGATGGGCTAAAGAACATAGACAATGGACACCTCAACAATGGTGTGCAATACAATGGAGAGATGAGGCCCCGAAGTTTGTGTTGGTGACAGTCGCAGTAGAGTTATTCGCAAAAAAATGAAGCATTCCATGTTGACTGTCTGAAGAGAAAAGTGAAATTTCCAGCATCTATTATGGTCTGGGGCAGTATGTCATCAAAAGGAGTAGGAGAACTTCATTTTATTGATGGAAATGTGGATACAAACAAATATTTGGCAATTTTAGAAGAATCGCTTTTACCAGTGATAGAAGAACGTTTGACATCCGGCCAAGATTTTGTGTTTCAGCAAGATGGTGCACCGTTCCATACCTCAAAAAAGGCTATAAGATGGAGGGATGAAAATAATGTACCACTTTTGAAATGGGTTTCTAGCAGTTCAGTTCACCGAACTGAGACAAAAGCTTCAAGAAATATGGGATTGTTTTACACCAAATTTTTACCAAAACTTGGTTAACACTATGCTTCAAAGAATTTCAGCCGTAATAAAAAATAAAGGTGATGTTACCCAATGGTAATCTTTCAATTGTTGCTTTGTTAACTTCGCGCATTTATTCGCGCATTGTTTATTTGTTCAGATGTTCTGTTAGTTATAGGTCTAAGTGATTTCAAATATGTATTTTTTACGACTGGAGTGTATCTAAAATGTTTTTGAGAAAATAAATTGTTCTAGATGTAAATAGTTTCGTCATGTTTAGTTTATAAAGGCATACTTTGGTACAAATCTTGAAGTGGGCCAACTGAAGTGGGAAGGGGCTCGTACTACATTTACCAGAACAGACTATTAAATTTGAAGTCTTTGCTGTATCATTTGACACTTCTTCTTTAAAACTTTAGTGGGGATCAAAATAAAGAAAGTACGAATTTTCATTTGATGTAATGGGAATATGTCATTATTGTTGTTTTCACGTACAGCGTAAATCCAACGGTTTAGTATTGTTAGCCTCACTTATTTTATATCAGTATTACTCAAAGAAGTCTTTGATAAGGTTCCACCATTTGCCCCAATTGGAGCAAATAATGTTTGTGAACCTTGAAGTATTGCTAGATAAATCTAGAGCCAGTTTGTGCTAGTCTTTGCGAAGTATTGTGAAATATAGCCTTATATACCTATGTTATTGCAGGTGGTCGAAAACGGTTATTTGAATTTTTCCATCAAACGCCTTCCTAGAAACAAACTTATTTCTGATTGTGGCTCAATGAACGGAAAAACACCCGTCTTAAATCGAATGCTATACTTATTTTAGATTGGTCTTTGATTTGTCCTTGAAGAGACCCTCAGATGTCCTCATAGTGACTAATTGACTCCTGATTCTGACTTTTTAACCAGAAGAACCTAAATGACATGTGGTTGGGCTCAACTGTTCGGCTTCTTTCACAAATGTCCTGGTTATGAACTTGAAGACACGTTCAGATGCCCAGAGCGACAAACTTATCCCTGATTTGCAATCAGCGACCTCAAAAACCCTGTGGAGCTGAAAATCGTATGAATGCCATAGACATTGCATTTTTTGCGAGGCACTTAGCATATAGTTACAAACGTAATTGTATCTTTAACGTATCTTTTGACCTATGTAAGGTTGATTAGACATTGCACTTGTTACCTTTTCCATCACCATTTTTATAATCCCGTCTATAGCGCTAAGAAGTACTTTTCTCCGCATGACCTTCTCACTCTATACAAGGCCCAGATAAGGCCTAGCCTCGAGTATTGCTCACACGTTTGGGGTGCTGCCGCCTCGACTACATTATCCATGCTCGATGCAATCCAGAGGAGGGAGGTCCGTCTGATCGATGACTCTTCTCTAACAGACAGTCTGGGAACTCTTTCGCACCGGCGGACCGTCGGCGATCTAGCTCTTTTCTACCGCTACACCAACGGGCTTTGCTCCTCGGAGCTCTCTTCCATGATGCTGCCGCGCGATGTGCCTGCCAGACCCGCCTGACTTTGGCTTCCCATCCTAACCGTGTTGAGCTTCGTACATCCAGAACTGGGCGATACGACCGCTCCTTTGTCCCAAGGGTGTCGAGACGGTGGAACCATCTACAAGAGGAAGCTTTTCCCAGTTCTACTAACCTTAGGCAGTTCAAAAATCGTATTAACAAAATTTCTTTGGGATCATCATAGCAGCCGCGGTGTTCCGGCATTTAGGCTTCTGCCTGCGCGGCTGCTTCTATATAAAAAAACTACTAAGCATTTGTACAAGCAATGTTTGAAAAACCTTACCTTGCTTGACGAAGATCTTACTATAGTTTCGACCGTTTTGTAAAATTTTAGTCAAAGGAGACTAGCTGTCACGTATGAAACTATGACGATATGAGGGTATGATACAAGAAAAAAGCTTTCTGCCACCCTTGAGACACATACCTTTGTAACCGAATACTTCGTATTCCACTGAGCTGTTATTTGCATGTCCTTGTAATAAACGGATCCAAGATACCAACACTTTCCTTCTCCTGCCAGGGGCACTTTTTGTGTAACCCTTTCTTGCACACCCCTGCGTTGTCAGGAGAAGTAAACGGAGAGGGAGGTAACGGGCAGCGCAAAGACTCATCGATATTTCTTGGGCGCTTCTTATTTGTTTTTCGAGGCGACTGGGGGTTGAAAACGGGGCAGAGGAGGATGGAAAGTAGGGGAGAGTGCGGTAGGGAAGCAGGATGAATAAGACGCTATTAATTTTCGTAATGGGGAATTAAGGGTCCGGAACGGGGGACGTGTAGGTTCTTGCTCGTAAAGGTTCGAGCAGTGATAGATAGACTGATCGACGGGAAAAAATGGCGTCAAGTAGGTCGACTCTGCACTTGCACGTTGTCATCAGTTCGTAAGCGATTATGTTCCGCTCAAGTTAGTCTCTCTGAACTAGCTACAAACATTTATAAAAAAAAATAAATGGACAAGATAACGCCAATGCTAGTTTCTTCCTTGCTATGCATATCGACCATTTGGCAACGGTGCTCAGCGTTTGAAAGTTACCTCCCGCACGGGTATTACGTATCTTGAAAAGTGACATTTCGTCGCTTTTTTTTGACATTTCGTAGGTTTTTTTTGTGACATAACGTAAGTTTTTCTATAAGGTGATAACTTAGCACAAGCTGTTGTAAGCTTGTTGTGAGCTCGTTTTGTAGCGATCAGCGATCATAGCGAGCAAACGTGGAATGCACTATTTGCACACTAAAAAATACCTAGTCTGCAAGATTAC